TCCCTAAATTGCCCAAGCTGGACTTGAATTTGTAATTTTCCTGCCTCAGCCTCCCAGAGTGCTGGGATTACAGGTGTGGCTCCCCCAGCTGGCTCGATCCTTACACTGTGATGCATTTTATAGGGCCATTTTAGGCAACATGGGGTCCCTGTTGGATGGGGTTCACAGCTCCTCACCATTTCCTTTGATACCTCCCTAGATCAGGCCTCAAGGGCTCAAGCTGGGGAGGGGACGGAGGTCAGGCCACCCAGCAGCCCAGCGTGGCCTGGTGTCTTCTCAGCTTAGGCTCCTGTGACTCAGGCTTTTGGGCTCAGGCAACTGCTTCCTTTCTGTCCTCCCGCCTTGGCAGGCTGGCCGGTGCTCCGTGGGGTCCAGTGACCTGTCAGTCACCACCACAGCACCGTCACCCACGAGCTTTTTCCTTTTTGAAAACTCCCTCCGCCTCAGGCCCACCCACAGCCCCGCAGCCCGTGGCCTGAGGCTGACTCACGCTGTCCTGGGTCCGTCTTCTCCTACCCACCCCAGGGCCACCCTGGACCCAGACCAGCTGCTTGGCTTTGGGCCCTGGTGGGAAGGGACGGGGAACAGGGAGGAGTGGGGTGCGGAGAGGAGCCATCGCTTCGGCTCAAGTTGGGTGGGAGGGGAGAGCTGAGTACAAAATGGCAGCGGGGACCACTGGGGACCCCTAGATCTGGGCATGCGTGTTGGCGGAGCTCCTGAAAGGAGCTCGAGCTACGAGAGTGCGGCAGGCACAGAGCCGCCCAGCACAGCCTGCTCGGAGGAAGAGCCCACGGTCTGTGGTGTGTGGGTGTGGATTAATTGCTGGTAATCCCCGCTCCTCTGGGTGTGATTGGCTGATTATTGTAATTAAGGTAACTTTGGGGAGTTCTGTTGTTCAGCAGCTCGATTTGCATTTGGATCTGTGTCTGTGGAGCTAGGGGTTGGCAAAACAATTTCAGTCCTAAGTTGTCCTTGGCCATTCTTTTTTTTCTTTTTTTTTTTTTGTCTTCCTGAGACAGGATTTTGCTGTGCAGTTCAGGCTGGCCTTGACCTCACTTTGTAGCCCAGGCTGGTCTGGAACTCCCAACAACAATCCTCCTGCCTCAGCCTCCCGAGTGCTGGGATGACAGGCATGCGCCACCACGCCTGGCTGTCCTTGGCCATTCTTATTTTATGGTCCCCTCACCACATTCCTAATTCTGAGAATTTTTCATGTCTTAAAAAAAGTATTTTTAGGCTTAAAGTTGCTTTCTATTGACGCCCATCATTTCTTTTGCAGCAAGTGAGGTTCAAACAGCTTTCTTTTTTTTTAAGAGATGGAATCTCAGCCTGGGCGCCATAGTGAGTTCAAGGCCAGCCTGAACTACACAGGGAGACCCTATCTCAAAAAAA